CGGCCTCCCTGCCCCCCGCGGCCGCCCCTTGCCCCCAGTCCCAAGCAGGTTTGTGTCGTAATAAAATTCATATTTCTGCTTTCGCGGCCAGGTCGCGGCCGAAGTAACAGCGCGTTAGGTTGAGACAAACAAAGGGAAATTGTGAAGGCGTGGGCTCTCCTCAAGTGGGGCCAGGCAGGGGCACAGGTGGGCCATCAGCCCCAGGCTCACAGAGGTGTTTGCTGATGCCCAGAGCCTGATTCTCATTTACCTTCCTGCTCCCCAGAAAGGGTTTTGGGGTGCTGGGGCAGTGGCAGGAATTCCCACCCCTCCCCAAGCACATTTAAGTCCTTCCCAGAGCTCTGGTTTATCCCGGCTGCCTCCCCAGCATGGGGGGCTCTGGGGATGTAGTGGGATTTGGGTGAGAGGAGTGCTCCATAGGGATTCCCATCTTCTGGGATCAGCACAGGAAGCATGGAGCAGGGAGGGGATGCTTGGCTGGAGGGTAGAACGGATCCCGTCCCCTGTCCATCCCCAGCTTTTCCATCCCAGGAAAAGGCAGTCCCTGCCCTGTGCTGGCAGTGGTGTCCAGGCTTAACCCTCTCTGTCTCATTGAACCCGGCATTTCCCAGGACCTTCCTCGCTCCTGCTTTTCCCAGCTCTCTGCCCGGCCAGGCAGCCTGCTCCCCCTCTCCTGCCCATTTCTGCTTGCTCTCCCCTGGCCTCTGGCTCTTGCTAACCTCTCTGGGGCTGATAGCACATGGGTCTTGCCCAAAGAGCACAGCTGGGTGGCACCTGTGGGTGGGAAACCTCAGAGTCACACTGTGCCTCAGTTTCCCCAAGTGAGCACCAGGGAAGATGCGTGTTGGCCTTCACCAGGCACTCAGCAATGTTTTGAAGCTGAATTTCCCAGCCGCTGGGTCATTCGCTCCATTAAATGCTCTTTGCAATTGTCCTTTTCTCATCCCCCTGCCTTCTTCAACCACTCATCCTCTTGAAATTTGAGATCGGCAAATTTAAATAGTTCTCGAACCCCCCATGGTTTATAACAAAACTGCGGCTATTGGAGCTAGCAGATACAAAGGTATGTAATAAATATGCCGGTGCAGGAACAGCTCCCCAACTCGCCGGCTATTAGCACAATTTCACAGTAGCTGGAATGGTTTATTGTTGGCCTAATCCATCGTCCTATACAAAAGCGGGCGAAATGAAGTTTCCTACAGCAAAGGCATTCCTTTGAAAACTCCTTGGCCTGAGCTCTGTCTATGGCACAGAGGATTTTACGTTCCCTGTATTTTCCTTTCCCAGTCCAGGGACCGTTCTGAAATAATTGTCAAGAACAGGCATTTTTAAAAACCAAACCCTACCTTCTAACAACATCAGCCATTTCTCCATTGATAACAATATTAATTTATCATCTCACCAAGCCATCTGCTGAGGGGCAAAGCTCTTCCAGAGTGTCATCTCCACCGAATGTGTTTAGAATGAAGGAATTAACCATCCCATAGCATCTGCCACCTCCCTCACAACTGTCTGACGTCTCATCTCACCCGGCAGATTGTTTTCTCTCTAAGACTTGATTCTTTCAACCACCGCGTTGCTCCCTCTCTGTCCGACCCATAACACATTGAAACAAATGCGTATCATGGAGCACCGGTGCCGCGCGAGCCGGTAGAGAGCTGCCAAGGAACCACCCTGGCAAGTGTGAGTGAGCTCAGGTGAACTCACCGCGAATGGGCCACGAAAGAGCTGCTGAAGAATTTATTCATTTAATTTTTTAATTAATTCATCTTCATTAATTCAGCCTAACAGACACATCCAGCTAAACTGCCTTTCCTCTCACTCGTGTTTCTCGTCTCTCGCTCCATCCCATGCGTGAGGTGATGCCTCTCCAGTCATAATGTGTCTAACGTCAGAACACTGGAGAGGCATGAGTTGTAGTATTTTAAATGGTTGGGTTTGGTATTTATGCAAAAATATCACATTGCAGAAATGCTTGCACAATGTCTACTTTTTTTTTTTTAAACTTGGAGAAAAAGAAAATGCTGCAGACTTTCACACGTGTCGCAGGGCAACTGTGTGAGGCTCAGGCAGCCAAAGGGGAGCAGAAAGCGGAACTGGGCAGTGCCCTCCTGCCCAGGCAGAGGGCTGGGTGGTTTGCTAATAGCCAAATCTATAACAAATTTTAATTAAAAGATTTTTTTAATGATCCGCAGTTGGTTTAGCAGCACAGGTGAAGGCATAAGAAGCTGGGCTTTGAGGATGACTTTTACCCTGCTGGTTAAAAGCGATGCAGCCATGCCATGTTCCTCGCCTCTGCTTTGCTTCCAGCCCTTTTCTTGCAAAAAAGAATGAAAGCAAAAAAAGTTGTCAGTGATCAGAGATGCCCTGCCGCAGAGCCACGCAACAGGCAGAGGGTGGCATGAAGTCTGTGAACCACATGTAAAGGAATTGATGACAGATGGAGCAGGGAGATTGCATGCAGCGGCCGCGCCGGGTGCACACCAGAGCCTGCCAGGCTGGAGCCGGGAGCTGAAGGAGGGCTGCGGCTGCTGTGGGTGGGTGGCCAGGCAAAGCCAGGGACACCAGTTACTCAAGCAAGGGCTCAGGCTCCTGCCGAGTTTTGAGGTCAGACCGCACCACGGATCTCTGCGTGGCCCCGGATGGGGACACTGGGGCTGGAGGAGGCCGATGGTAGTGGAGGTTCCCTGCCATGGGGGATGGATGGGCTCATTCTGGAGCAGGATGCCCTTTGCTCTGGCAGATACATCAAACCCTGGGTGCTGCACGAACCTCATAGGTGTGTGGGCTGTCCTGAGAACCAGCAAAACCCCAGAAATTTTGCATGTTCATCTCCTAAAACTCAGAACAAGGGTGAATTGCTCCTCCTTTCTCGATGATTTTTCTGAGAGCGTGAAGAGCTCCCAAAGCCCTGCTTCCCATTCCTTCTGCTTTCCCTCTGCTCCAAATGATGTTGCAAGTGAAATTCCACATCTGGGTCCTGCAAACCTCTGTCCGCCCTGCTCATCATGGGCTGCCATAAATCAGGGCCCTGGTGTTAGTTCTTTTGATTAAATTCACTCCTGATATTTGCCAGATTATTGGCACTAATGTAATTCTATTGGAATAGAGACTCTGCAGGATTTTATAGCCTGGCTGTAAAACAGCTCTGCACTTCGGGGAAAGGATTTACATACTTTTTGATGAAAAGATGACAAATGATGCATGTTATGAATGCACTGGTGCTGAGGCTGCCAGCGTAAACCCCTTGTGGAGGGGCAGGATTTGGCACCTGGAGAGCCCACATTCTTTAGGGCTCAGTGTTTTGGTAAAAAAATTGTATCGCC